TTGAATGAACTATGTGTCATGATTCATTGGCTCACTCATTCATTCATGCATGCATCTATCTGTTCTTCTATGAACTAGGTTTCATTTCTTAATCCTTCCATCAGTCTTTCAATTCATCCTTAACTCTTCTATCCATTTATTAATTACACAATCAATTCACTGATTCATCTTTCATTTATTCATCTGTCATCAAACCATCATCCATTTATCACTTTTTCTACTAATTTATTCATTCGCTTATTCCTCCATAAATCTAGCCATCCATTTATTCAGGTAATTTATTGGTTGATTAGGTTTATTTATTTATTTGTCTATTGGAATTATTCATCTATTGATTGATAAGTAAATACATGCAACCATTAAATAATGTTCTTCCGTCCATCAGTCTTTGTGCAGGGGGGGGAGGGTCCCTCAGCCCAGCCTGTGCCTTCTTGCAGTCCAGGAGCCCCTGGGGGATGTCCGACTGCCAAGGAGGCAGGAGAGGCTCCCGCCGCTGCTGCACTCGCCAGCCATGAGCCCAGCTTCTGGCTGAGGAGCACTCCCCTTATGGGAGCACACTGACCACCAGAGAAAGCTCCTACAATGAGCATCTGCCCCCTGGTGGTCATTGTGCATCATAGCGACCACTCATTCTGCCGTTTGGTCAATTTGTATATTAGCCTTTTATTATATAGGATTGGTTGATAGATATATTCATTTATTTACCCAATTATTCATGGGTTAATCTATTGATCTATTTCACTGTCATATTCCTGAGGACCTAGCACAATATGTGCCTCATTTACAATACACACAATAAATATTAGTTTATTTCCCACTCATCTTAGAGAAGAAATTTTGACAGGTGCAGAGCCTCAAGTTCTCAATCTGATATGTGATGTGTGAGTGTGCACACACATGTGCATGTGTGCTTCCCTGTGCATGTGGGGGAAAGAATCTATAACATTCATTAGATTTCAAAAAGTGAGAATTCTTCTAGCTTCCCCTTTGCCCCCCCACCCCAAGCTGATTGTTTTGAGGAATGTCAATGATTTAACCCTTTACTGTAAGTTTTTAAAAATTATTATTATTATTTTATTGATTTCAGAGAGGAAGGGAGAGGGAGAGATAGAAACATCGATGATGAGAGAGAACAATTGATTGGCTGCCTTCTGCACTATACACCCACTACTAGGGATCGAGCCCGCAACCCAGGCATGTGCCCTTGACAGGAATTAAACTAGGGACTCTTCAGTCCACAGGCCAATGCTCTATCCACAGAGCCAAATCAGCTAGGACCTATAAGTTTTTCCTGACTCATTGGCCCATAGAAAGCAGTGTCCCTACTGAAATGTCCATTATTATTATTATTATTATTATTAAATACACTTTTAGTGATTTCAGAGAGGAAGGGAGAGGGAGAGAGAGACAGAAACATCAATGATGAGAGAGAATCATTGATCGGCTGTCTCCTGCACACCCCTCACTGGGGATCGTGCCTGCAACCCGGCATATGCTCTAACTAGGAATTGAACTATAACCCCCTGGTTCATAGGTCAACTCTCAACCACTGAGCTATGCCAGCTGGGCTGAAATGCTCCTTTAAACAAGGTTCACTCTTCTATGCAGAGAAAGTCCACAAGGAGATTGATCAGGTGATTGGCTCACATCGCCCTCCAGCCCTTGATGACCGGGCCAAAATGCCATACACTGAAGCAGTCATCCACGAGATTCAGAGATTTGGAGACCTGATTCCTATGGGTGTGCCCCACGTGGTCATCAAAGACACTAAATTCCGAGGGTACATCATCCCAAAGGTGAGGCCAGCCAGGCAACCACATCTCTCCTGTGTGGGACCCTGGGTTCTCTGAATCTCCAAACTTGACCTCTTGTTTTATCACTAGGGCTTCTTGTTTCATGTTGTGTTTTCAGGGTTGGATGGTGAAGGGAATGACAATATTTTGTATCTTGTGATCATTCCTCAGGACACTGAAGTATATCCCATCCTGAACTCTGCTCTCTTTGACTCACGTTACTTTGACACACCAGACACCTTCAACCCTAACCACTTTCTGGATGCCAATGGGGCACTGAAGAAGAATGAAGCTTTTATGCCCTTCTCCCTAGGTAAGCTGGATCTGCACTCACTTCCCAGACACCAGAGTGCAGGTATCTTCACCTCCTTGAGACATCAAGGAGAGGCTTTAGTTTATTGAGCAGTTAGTACATGCCAGCTGCTTTACCTTCATTATCCCATCCCATATGCACTACAACACTAGGAGAGGCTTAAAAGGTGAGATCACGGCCCAGTGGCACGCGTTGGTATGCTGGACCTTGGGAAAGTATGTTAACCTCTCTGTATCTCGGTATAAGATATCTGTTGAGCAGTGTACTCTGAGCCCAGTGCTTTACTGGGGGCTGAAGATAATGCATCAGACAAGCCACGTAGACAGAGAAACATTATCTGTCAGGAATGTGAAGACAGAAAACAAAACAAAACAGCTAGCTGCCATGGGCAGAAAGAAATACAAACTTAACCAAAGAGGAGTTAGAGACAAATGTCTACTGAAGGGTCCAAAGGACAGCCTAAGGATGGAAGGACAGAGTGGGAGGGAGATAACAGGCTCTTCTAGAATGAGGTGAGTCATGGAGCCAGTTACAGGAGAGGAATCATGCCAGAGCCTTGCCCTGAAGATTTGCTTATGTGTCCTAACTTCTAGGTGTGCCAAAAAATGTGAACCCTTCCCCAGATACCTCCACACAGGCACAATGTCCAACAACTTGAAAGGTCTAGGAAATACCTAGAAACCCATGCTTGAAATGGCCTTTTCAAGGTGGTCAACTTGCAGATTAGGAACCAATGAATTAATGGATGAGACTCTTGGTGTCTGCCTGACCTTTCTGGATACCTTTGCCCTCATTTCTCTCCAAGCCAGTGGTTTATAACCTATTGTGAGGGGCGGGGGGCGCTGGTGTACACTTCTGAGAATTTGATGGAAGCCATACACCTACCTCACATACATAAATCCCATTCACAAGTTTATGTACAATATGGTTTTTTTCTTAAAACTGAGATAAGAAACAAAACAGAGATAAGAAAGGAAACAGAAACATACTCAAAGAAACAAAGAACAAACTGATGATTAACAGAGGCAAGGAGGCTTGGGGGACTGGGTGAAAAGGTTAAGGGAGTTAGAAGTACAAATTGGTAGTTACAGAATATTCACGGGAATGTAAATTACGGTTTATGGAATATAGTCAATAATATTGAAATACCTCTGTGTGGTGTCAGTTGTATAGTAGACTCATAGTGCTGTAGACCTGAAACTAATATAAAAGAATATTGAATGCCAACTGTAAATGAAAATAAATAAATAAATAAATAAAACAACCCAGAGATAGAAAATCACATGCAGTGCCAGACATTCACCCCACAGTCTCCACCACACATACCTGAAAAAACACACCAAGTACCATCTACATCTATAGGATCTTTAGTGTGAACCAGAAGCTCTTTGAATAATTCTTTCATTTTGTTAATCCTCACCTGAGGTTATTTTTTTCTATTGATTTTTAGAGAGAGTGCAAGGGAGTGGGGGAGGGAGGGAGAGGGAGAGAGAGACAGAAACATCAATGTGAAAGAGACACATTGATTGGTTGCCTCCTGAACATGCCCTGACTGCAACCCAGGTATATGCCCTTGACAAGGAATCAAATCCTGGACCCTTCAGTGTGCAGGCCAACACTCTAATCACTGAGCCACACCATCCAGTGCTCTTCTAAGAATTTTTACAAATATTAACAATTCTCCAAATGTTGTTGGAACTATGCCCACATCTACACATGTGGAGGTGCGCATGCACACACATACACACACCCAACCCAGTGATAGTCCTTAGACTCTGTGAGGTCAACTGAACCTTTGGAAATCTAACAGAAGCTACAATCTTCCCTGGAAAGATACACGTCAAAGATTTGCACCTGGTTTTAGAGGTTTGGGGACACCCTAACAGTCTACCCTGAATTGCAAGTGAAAGGCTAGCCCCATCCAAACCAGTTGCAATGGACACAGGTATCTGGACTTTGGACAAAGACTATGCATCCAGCCAGCAGGCAGCTGAGCATTGACCTATGAACCAGGAGGTCACGGTTCGATTCCTGGTCAGGCAAATGCCCAGGTTGTGGGCTTGATCCCCAGTAGGGGCTGTACAGGAGGCAGCTGATCAATGATTCTCTCTCATCATTGATGTTTCTATCTCTCTCTCCTCTCCCTTCTTCCTTCCTCTATTTGAAATCAATAAAAATATATTTTAAACACACACACACACACACGAATATGCATCCACTCCAGGCCCACATTGTTGATTTTCTGTGCCCACAGGGAAGCGCATTTGTCTTGGCGAAGGTATCGCTCGTGCAGAATTATTCCTCTTCTTCACCACCATCCTCCAGAATTTCTCCGTGGCCAGTCCCGTGGCCCCTGAGGACATTGACCTCACACCCCGGGAGTGTGGAGTGGGCAAGCTGCCCCCAGTGTACCAGATCCGATTCCTGTCTCGCTGAGGGGGTTGAAGGAAGGAGATCAAAGGATCCCAGGGTCATGAAGTATTCCCACCTCTGCAGGGATGTTGCCTGACTCTACCCATGTTCTGCATCTGAGAGATCTGCTACAAGCCAGTCTCCTTCTTCCTCCTTGGTTGCCACCTCCACGAGAATGTCCACTCTGCAGTCTGCCTCTTTCCATCATGCTGCAGCTCTTCTAAAGACTCAAGGAGGGGTTCTTCTTTCCTCTGTTAATAGAATTCCAGAAGTGGTGTATACATAGAAATTGGAGGCTGAAAGGGAAAACGCATCTGAGGCTCTCTCTGCAGTTCTGCCTCCTGGCCACTGCTTACCCTGAGTGACTTCTCCCTTCCTTAGAACAACCACAACCTCCATTTAACAATTCCTTGTGCTCCATGATCTGTACATACATGATCTTGCTTGAATACTACTCCTAATAGCCCCATGTGGTGGCTACAATGATCATGTCCATAGTACAGATGAGTACACAGAGGTGGGGCAATGGCATCAGTTGTCTGAGGTCACATGGTTAGTGAGTGCAGGTGCAAGATTCACATTCAGTCTCTGTCTCTAGAACTCAAACTCTCTATCAAAGCTCCTCCTATCCATATATTTTTAAATTAATCTGAAACTCAGAGACAAAAAAATCAACCATTTTTACTAGCATAAGTTAGTGCTTTCTGGATTTGCCTCTTCTGCATAATTCATATAATGAAATCACATAATATGTGGGCTTTTGTGAATGGCTTCTTTCACTTAGTATGATATTTTTGAGGTTCATCCACATTGTAGACTGTAGTTGTGCCCTGCTATTGTCCAGCTGTCTCCTCATTTTACTGCCTTTCCCTTTCCTTTTCAATATAAAAGGGCCTCCTCAGCCCAGGGCCTCCTGACCTGTGTGGTTATAAACTGGTGTCTTGGATTCTCCAATATACCTCTTCAAATGCACTGAGACTCAAATAAACATCTAAAACCTGACACCTCCAGGTAAGGTGGTGATCCATGCCACTTTATGTGTGACTCATTTATTTTCAGGGCACTAGGAATATTTCCAGAAGGTGAAAATTTCTACTTCACCTCAATGCCAGCTCCATGAAGGCAAACCTGTTGTCTTGTTCATCACTATTCTCTCAGCACAAAGAACCCTGTGTGGCATATGACAGGTGTTAAAAATATTTGCTCAGAAATGAATGAAGGAAGGAAGGAATGAATGGTTAGCTCAGACAATCCTCCAAAGTACCAACATGGAGCTAATTCCCCCCCTTCAGATCACATGTCCTCCAATCTCACTTTGTTCTGATGCCATGAACATGTCCCTGTCCCAGTGGCACAAGATGCTCCAATTTTGGACCTGCCAGCTATACTCATCCCTCAAATGCAATGCTCCCCTCTGATAAAAAGTGCTGAGAGCCACACTTGCAGTGCAAAAACCATGAAACAGCTTTCACCTGAATTTGAACCCAGACAGTTTGGACCCAGAGCTCAGACCTTATCACCTGTTCCACCAGCTGGCATACCACACTTCCTTGAGAGAGGTGCTCTTCATTCAAGGGCACTCCCCACCAAGGCACCTCAGGCCATCCATGGGAAGGAAGCTTTGGGATCCAATCAAGATGCTAGACTTCTTGGCCTCTGCAACACCTGCCATCTTTGGGTTCCCTGTTGCCTCTGGTGAGTTACAAGGAGTTCTGTCAAGGCTCTAGTGGATCAGGCTGAGGCTTTCTCTGGCCGAGGGCACATTGTTATTGTTGACCCCATCTTCCAGGGTATTGGTGAGTGGGGATGGTTGGGGACTGGGGAGAGGACAAGGGAATATTCTATGCAGCCTAAAACCTTCCCTTCATGCACCATCAATCAGGTGTGGTTCTCGCCAGTGGAAAGTCTTGGAAGACGCTTAGGCAATTCTCTCTAACCACCACGAGGGATTTTGGGATGGGGAAGCAGAGCATTGAGAAGCTAATTCAGAATGAGACTCAGCATCTGGTGGAGGAGCTGTGGAAATCCCAGGGTAAGCACTGGTCAGGACAGGGGATGAAGGCACTGACAGAGGTAGGTGAGATGGGGACACAGAGGGAGGAGGGAACACGACTGATGGAGAAGGATCCAGACACAGCCACAGAGAGATGCAGGAACAGGTTTAGAGACAGAGAAAGAGAAAAAGAATGAGAAAGACAAAGAAAAACAGACTGGGAAGGAGAGAGGGAGAGTAAGAGAAAGCAGAGGAGAGAGAGAAAACAAGCAAGAGAGAAAACCTGAGTATGCTGAGAAAGATCAATCTAGAATCAGACACTGCAAGGAAAAGCCCTAGAAAGAAAAAGGTAAAGATAGAAATTGAGTCTGGGACACTCAGCGTCAGTGAGGCCAAGGACAAGGAACACTGGAGGCACTGAAAAGGGAAATCATGGAGAAGGGGCTTGGTCTCAAAGGAGAGTCAGAGAGAAGACCAGAGACAGACATAGAAAGTCAGATGAAGAGACCAAGAAAAATAAGAGTCACAGAGGGAAAATTCTCAGAAAAAAATCTGAGATGTAGAGGCCAGTGAAAGACAGGCTAAACTAGAGAAATAGAAAATACACACACACACACACACACACACACACAACAACAAGAACAACAACAACAACAATCACACATACTAAGAGAGTACCAGCCAGGCCAGAGCCACCCAGAAGGGAACCACTCATGACAGATCTCTCATCCCCAGGGCCCTATCTGGATCCCAACTCCCTCTTTAACTCCATCATAGCCAACATCATCTGCTCCATTGTCTTTGTTTTTATATATAGAAAACTAGAGGCCTGGTGTACAAAAATTTGTGCACTCGGCGGGGAGGGGGGGGAGGAGGGGTCCCTCAGCCCGGCCTGTGCCCTCTTGCAGTCTGGGACCCCTCGGGAGATAATGACCTGCTGGCTTAGGCCTGCTCCCGGGTGGCAGAGGGCAGGCCCAATCCCTAGGTGCAGCCCCTGGTCGGGCTCAGAGCAGGGCCGATTGAGGAGTTGGGGCACCGCCCCATCATACACAGAGCAGGGAGATTGGGAGGTTGTGATGCCACCCTCAGTCACAATCAGTGTAGGGCTGATTGGGGGGTTGGGGCACCATCCCCTGTCACACTCAAGGCAGGGTCGATGGGGAGGTTGCGGCGCCACCCCCTGTCATGCACAGAGCAGGGCCAATCAGGGGGTTGGGGCACTGCCCCCTGTCACTCACAGAGCAGGGCCCATCAGGGGGGTTGGGGCTCTATACCCTGACATGCACAGAGCAGGACCAATCAGGGGGTTGGGGCACTGCCCCCATCACACAGAGCAGGGCCCATGAGGGGGTTGAGGCACCGCCCTCTATCACCCACAGAGCAAGGCTGATCTGGGGGTTGGGGCGCCGCCACTCTCACACTCAGGGCAGGACCGATGGGGAGGTTATGGCTCTATCCCGTCACACACAGAGCAGGGCCCGTGGGGGGGAGAGGGTTGGGGAGCTCCCCACTATCAGGCACAGAGCAGGGCTGCTCAGGGGGTTGGGGCACCTTCCCCTGTCACGAACAGAGCCGGATGGATAGGGAGGTTGTGGCCCCGCCCCCTGTCACACACAGAGCCGCAGGGCGATCAGGGGGTTTGGGAGATGCCCCCTGACATGCTCATCCCAGTGCCAGGAGGCCTCATGGCTCCGCTGATCTCAGGTTCGGGAGGCCTCGCAGCTCCGCTGATCCCGGTGCTGGGAGGCCTATTACCCTTTTACTATATAGGATAGAGGCCTTGTGCACAGGTGGGGGCCGGCTGGTTTCCCCTTGAAGGATGTTCTGGATCAGGGTGGGGGTCCCCACTGGGGTGCCTGGCCAGCTTGGGTGAGGGGATCGGAACGTTGTTCCTCCGTCACTGAGGCAAGCAAGCCTCATGTTAGTTTCAAGCTGCCTGGGTGCCGACTGCCATCTTGGCTGACAGTTAATTTGCATATCTTGCTGATTAGCCAATAAAAAAGGTAGCGGTCGTACGCCAATTACCATGTTTCTCTTTTATTAGTGTAGATCCTTACTGTTGATGCATGCATGAGTGCTTATCATCAAATCAGAGTGTGCAGTAAACTCCCCACCTCTCCAGCAGCTCCGTCGTTTTTGGAGAGCACTTTAATGACCAGGACCCTAGATTCTTACAGTTGCTAAATTTACTGAATGAAGTCTTCACCGTTATCAGCTCTTTGTACAGCCAGGTAAGGCCAAAGATTCCATGGTGGCCAGCAATTGAGGTGAGTGGACCTTGGCAAGGGATCCGATGCTTTTTGTCCTGAGCAGCAAAACAAGACTGCATCAGAAGTTGGTGTTCTGTGCACACACTTCATCCCCTGCACCCTGCCAGGTGAGGCACTGAGTCTGACTGGGGATAGCAATCAGGCCTTCTACAAGGGTAGACTCTGAAAGAGGAAATCTCGGCAACTATAAGAGTGACTGGGGAAGGGTATAGCTGTTCACATATCAGAGAGGTTATTGTCTCTTCAGCTGGGAGGCACATTCTGCAAGCCCACGGGGTGAAAGGTGCCCTTCAGATGCAGCTGTGTGTGCAGTCATAACTGCAACACCCACAGCACCAGCCTAGAGACTAGAACAGGTTCTGGCTTTCCTGTAGATGTTTGAATTCTTCTCTGGCATCTTGAAACACTTCCCTGGCACCCACACTCACTTGTCTAGTCTCATTCAAGAAGTGGAAGATTTTGTCACTGAGGTCATTGAGATGCCCTGGAAAACGCTGGACCCCAGTGCCCCAGAGGACTCATCGATTCCTTCCTACTCCTTATGGACAAGGCAAGGACTCTGCTGGATTGGGTGTGGGTGGGCAGGAAAGAGAGTGATGGACACACTACTGACACTGAGCTTGTGTGTTAAAGTATGATGTTTGTGTTTTTTAAATACTGTATTGAAATACTTCCCTAATATTTGTAATAAAGCCACTGCTCACCCAATTCTCTGCTCCCCACACCCCATTTTTTCTTGAGCCCCTCTAGATTCCCCTCCATGAATGCCTGTTAAGAGGTAGCAACTAAAGAATTAACACCTGGCCCAGCAAAGGACCTTTTTTAAAAAAAAATTTATTTTATTGTTTAAAGTATTACAAATAGTAGTACATATGTCTCCCCCCCTCCCCCATTGCAAAGGACCTTTAAGACTCTCCTCTCCCACCCTCATTTTGATCGGTTAGAGACCCATTTGTGTTTTTGTTTTTTTAAACTCACTTGAGGATATTTTTTCCATTGATTTTTTTTTTTTTTTTTTTTTTTTTAGAGAGAGAGTGGAGGGAAAGGAGAAGGGGGTGGGGAGAGGAACATTGATTGGTTGCCTCCTGCACTTGCCCTGACCAGGGCTGGGGATCAAGACTGCAATCGAAGTACATGCCCTGAACTGGAAATAGAACCTGAGACCCTTCGGTTCTTGGGCCGACACTCTAACCCCTGAGCCAGACTGACCAGGGACCCATTTGTGTTTTGATTGGTAAGAGGCCCATCTCCCTTTGTTGGTTCATAGACCTACGTTTGTTCTGATTGGTTTGAGGTCCATGTCAGTTCTGATTATTTGGAGGCAGATGTTCTTCTAATTGGTCTAATGCCAGATGGGTTATTAAACATTTTCAAATCACCCATATAATGATAGCTGCAAGGGCCAGTCAGGGAGCAAAGATACCCAAGAACAGAGAAGATAATAACAACAACAAAATATTAATCCCTCACATTTATTGAGCACTTACGTACATAATATCAAAACAACCCCAGATGATAAACTAAGGTTCATAGAGGTCAGATTCTTGCTCAAAGACACATAGTTAATAAATGGTAGGACCTGTGTTTGAACCCTGGTAGTCTAGCTCCAGAGCCAACCCTTCTTCCATATTGTTGGCCTTGAATAGAGAAAAAAAGAAAATAAGAATAGAAAAACTGGCATAGAGTAACATGGGGTTGGGCAAGTAGAATAGATCCAGAAACTGGAAATCTTTGCAAGGGGTGATGTTAAGAATTCTCCATCACTGCCCCAGGAGAGCTCTGACCCTGAGCGTGAGTTCCACCATAAGAGTCTTCTCACGGTGGTCCAGCTGTTCTTTGCTGGTACAGAGATCTCTAGCACCACCCTGTGCTGTGCCCTTCTACTTCTTCTTAAGAACCCTGATGTCTTAGGTAAGCTGGGCTTAGCATGGGAGGGTGCCAGGGTGGGTGAGTGTCTCTGTAGCCAAACTGGAAGTTGGTTAGGTGATGGGTGAAGATAGACAACTTCTGTTCTGAGATCAGTGTGAAAAATATAAAGTCTACCCCTGTAAGTATTTGCAACTTACACTAAAGCTTTGCTGCTGACAAAGCTCTTTGAAGTTGAGGAGGTACTTACAGTTTACAAAATATTTTTTATTTAATGAAGCACCGTATGTTTTAGAAGGAACTTTTTCCTTATGAAAGACTCTTTGCAAAAACACTTGGGTGATTATAAGGTGCTTTATGCTGATCCAGGCACAAAGCATAATCATTCACAGAGCATTTTTTTCTTTAATCAAATGTGTTATTTATTTATTATTTTATCCATTATCATTTACCCCCTCTTTCATCTCCACCCACCAGCCTGCCCCATCTGCTATCAACACACTGTTGTTCATGTCCATGAGTTCTCTCTTTTTCCCCCCCTTTTTTGCTTAATCGCTCCACCCTGCTAACACCACTACCACCAGAACTATCTGCCTGTTAGAGAGCATTTTTTAGTCTATGAAACACATGGCTTTTGACAGAAACACTTAGGTTGGCAGATGACAGT